AGACAGACAGACAGACAGACAGACAGAGCTTCTGTTCAACTTCTTCCACTATCCTCTTTCAGTCTAAGTTCTTCCACATCAAACAATCTTTGAGCCAATTTCTGTCCCTGTATGCAGCCAGCTGGAATGCAGATGATTAGGGGACCTGGAAAGTGCAGCCTGCAGCGCTCAGCCTCCACAGTAACAGACAGAAACTGTAATAAAAGAGTGGAAGCCAAACAGACCAAAAATTGGCACCTAATAGTCAACTAATTTTATAATACAAAAAAATGTTATATTAGTGTAGATCATCTCCTGTCTTAGAGAGCAGAAAGAGTAATGAATAAATCAGTGGATCAAAAGATTGGTGGAGGGTTATGTCCTCATCTCACTGAAAATGCTTCTAAGACAAAGGAAACATATAGCTAAAGGACCATGTATGCAGACACTGCCACAGACCAAATGATGAGGGTGTGTGTGTGTGTGTGTGTGTGTGTGTGTGTGACAGAGAGAGAGAGAACGAGAGAGAATAGAGATATATTAGGACTCTAGATGTTATCTATGAGCTTTAACTCCATTTTTGAAATTGCCTCTATCACTTCTCCAATTAAGCCATTTTTGTGAGACATAAATGCTGTCAATGTTCATCTCTAAAACCTTTTCAAACATTCTTGGAAGCAGTTCTAGACACATCAAGCACCATATACTGTAACAATTTAAAAAGAATGGGTATCAGTACAAACTCTATTGAGTCAAATCCTTAATTCTCAGCTAGAAGCTCAATTTCAAAAGATTTTCTGGGTAGAAACTAGATCTATTTTAAAAGTCAATCCTTATATGTCTATTACACTGATATCTAGGGCAAGCATTGTTTTTAAAATATCCACAGATGCTATTATTTCAGGGGTACTTGAGGTGACACAAAATATAAAGTCACAGAGAAAAGAAGCAATAATCTAAATGAAGGATTATAAGGCTAAGACAGGTAAAAACTTAGTGGTATTTCATACCTAATCTATGAGTAGGGAAAGTTTATAATTCCAGCTAAGTAATCTTCATGCCAGAAATTTCCTAATATTAAACTTAATATGGAAATCCTTTAAAAAGTTTGTATTTTAAAAATATCAAAAGATAGATTAACCAGAGAATTTTAACCACTGTTAGTGTTAATAGCTGTGTGTGTAGAATTCCCACCTGACTCATTTTCATAAACCACGTAAAGAACTATCTCACTTTTCTCCTTAAACTATAGACTTTTAAATACAAAGAAACCAATATAGCATTTAAAGTGTTCACCAGTGTATAATTTCCATATCTCAAATAAACCATCAATAGAATTCAACAAACTCTACTTATCTGCACTCTTCTTATGCATATGTACTAGGTTTGGGCATTTATTACATTCCGGTGTCTAGCACACTGAAGTCAAAATTCCAGAAAGTAAGAGAAAAAATAAAGACAACAGCTCAGTCTCAAAACATAACTCTGAAGTATCTATATATAAATACTGCTCTCTGGATCCTCTGTCCCCTTCATATTTTTGTTATCTTTATCTAAGCCGTCAACATTTTTTCCAACCCTCTTCGTTCCTTCAGCTATTCTTCCATAACCTCTCCTGTCCTCCCTAGACTCCAATATTCCCCAAGCTCACAATTTCTGTTTCTTGCCTTTATGTTCTCCCACAAACTGCCAGTGCTCTTCCACAGAGTGAAGCTCCCTAACTAAAGATGGTTATTGATGTACAGTACCAGTGTTTTAGTGCAGCAGCCGAATCAATAAAGGAGAAAATACTGCTTTGTCAGGCTTCGCTAAGGCATTCTGGGAAACTTAACTGCTTTGAGTGTTTACAGAAACTCTTAATACAGGAGAATGAGAGCTGGGCTCCCTTCTGTGGTGAGGAATGATGTTCTCCTACCCTCTAGTGACTGTAAAGGAATAAGGCAAAGTTGGATGAATTTTTGAGACAGCATCATACAATTTTCTAAACAAGATCCAGCCTGTTACTTTTTAATAGTTCTGTTAACTTAATGTGCTGAAAACGCAAAGCATATGCACTTTACTGAATGTGTAGCAATAGAATATTTGGTTCCTATGGATTTCTAAAAGTAACAGTTTCAGATTCTCATTCTCTCTCTCTCTCTCTCTCTCTCCCTCCCTCCCTCCCTCCCTCCCTCTTTCTCTCTTTCTTTCTCTCGTTCTCCAAAAATCCCTAACCTGGAGATGTTCCATACTATACAAGGAGGCAGGCAACTGAAGTACTGTGAGGTTAGAAATTAGAAGCAGTGTGTATGTTTCTGCGTGTCTGTGTGTCTGTGTATCTGTATATATTCATGCATACACAGCAATTATCTGCACAACCCCCTTATAGCAAAGGCGTATACCACCACTCCCATTCAGGAGTCAAATAGACAAAGCCTGAAATACCACATCATTTAACAGGAATTTTTGTTGTTATTTGTCTTTAAAAAACAGCAAGCACTACTGGGGCTGGAGAGATGGCTCAGTGGTTAAGAGTACTGAGTGCTCTTGCAGAGGACCTGGGTTTGATTCCCAGCACCCACATCATGGCTACGAATGGTCCTGAACTCCAGTTCCAGGAGAATCCAAAGCCCTCTTCTGACCTCTGTGGCACTGCATGACTCGGGTGCACTCACAAACATGCAGGCAATACAATCATACACATATAATAAAAATTAAAAAAATTTAAAACAAGCACTAGTAACTAAATTTTAAAATACTTTGGAGGATTCATTTTTAGAATAACTTTTATATTTAGTTGCCTAAGTTATAATATGTTAACTTATTAATTTAATAAATTATTAAATTACAAATCCATTCCTTAGCATACCTATATTTTATACAATCAGGGAATATTGTATAATTGCTACAAGATACTAATATTGTAAAAAATCTGTAGCACTTCATGAAAAAAATCTTTAAAATATTCTTATACAAAGAGCAATAAGTGGTTTTTCAGATGTGAAAGATACTTGTAAAATAATCCACATATTCCTCTCAGGCTCCACATTGCATCTATGACATACATGCTGACTTCTAATAGAAAATAACTTCCTAAGAATAAAACCTAATCACTCCACCTTCAGAACATTCCAACTTAATAAAGTACAAAGTTCCAACATGGCCGGTACATATAAAATGTTACCACTCAAACAACTGCAAGTTCAAACATCTGGCCATGTCCTCACTTAATGAATTTCTGAAGAAAGGTGTTCCCTTATTCATTATAGCAGTAAGAGGCACATAACTCTGTAACAAATAAAGTTTGGACAACACCAATTATGTATGTAATAGTATTTGTGGCAAAATGAAGTTTTAGCCAAATGAGGTAGATAGAAAAAAAACGTAAATTTACCTTGCTGGCACTTAATCTCTTCCGATTTGACCAACGCTAAGGATCACATCCATTGTATGGTGAGGAGGGCAAAATAAAACAGAGAAATATCAAATCACTCACGATATAATTACACTATACTTATTATATTACTTTAGGATGCAGACTACATTAAGGTGATTAACCCAAAACGCCACAAGTATCCCCCACCCCCAACCAAAGCTCATGTAAGCAAGAAAACACACTTGTGTGCTTGTATTATGTAATATTCTTAAAGTATTCAGTATGGAGAGGCAGTAGCAGACAGATACCATTCAATCTCAGGAAGTACATTTTTTAATTACATGAAATAGTACTATAATTTCATCTTTAAAAAGAAAGTCAGTTTCACCCTCTTAGTTAGGTATCATTGCAAAAACATTTATAAATACTTAGGCAATGTTACTTTATGTTTAGGTTCCCCATAGTTTTAGATAACATAAAATATAATTCTATTTACTTGCTTAGTTAAATATCCAGAATCAAAAAAAAAAAAAAAAAAACCAGGAAAACTGCAAAATGTATTCCATATGAAAATGTGTTGCTTTGGAAGCTAGTTAAAAGATAAAATATTAAAAGGTTTGGAATCATTATTGCCCAATTAAATGAATTTGGTTGCTTTAGCAATGAAGGAAAGAAGAAAAAAGTTCCGAAAGGCAAGAAGTTTCACTCTCCTCTTTTGATGCCTCTTTTGTCCTACAAAGCCTGCTCGATTACATCTCCACTGAAATCTTCTTTCAGCAAAATCCTATCCTGCCTTCAATCATTGTCCAGTACTGCAAAGCTCTACTCTGGCTGGCTAACTATCAAACTAACTGCTCAAACCTGAATATAGACAGGATATTACAATTAAATTATGAATCCAATCAAGAAGACCATTTATTTTAATGATTCAGGGCACACACACACACACACACACACACACAAAAAAAAAAAAAAAAAAAACAGCCACAAAAAAAACCCTTAAGTAAATGGCTTATCTACTTTGCCACTTTTTCTCCCCAAGAAATCAGAAACCATAAAATAAACAGTGTTCAAGGGAAGTCAACTCAAATTCCATTGACCAGCAGCTAGGATGTTGGAACACAATTTTAAGATGCTATGTATTAATAATAACACTTGCCCTTATGAAATGGTGAGTTCAATGCTCAGCACATGACATGGTTAGAGGTACAAAAATCAGGTTTTGTAATTAATTTTTCAGGTAGTTTCTCAACAAAACGTCAAGTATTTTAGCCCATTCTCACCAAAATTAATGACAGTCTCATAGGCACATAGAACTATTTAGATTTTTTTCCTGCAATACTAACTTATTTGCTTTTTTGGATAACAAACATAAATGATAAAAAATATTAGGATGCTAATGGCATATCTTTATTCTTTCAGTGTTACAAGCTGTCATATACTGAATTTGTCTGCACCAGACTCAGCACCACATTTGATGATCTCCATCTCCATGACCTTATGAAGCAGATATTCCTCTTCCTCATTTCCCACATGAGGAAAACAGAGAGGTAGCAAATTCTATGAATTCGATTGAGCCTTGATGGGACTATGATGTAAACATAGACAGTCTGATGGCAAAGTCTACAATTTTAATTATAATCCTATATCTTTTCCAAGAAAAGGAAAGTTTAGTTCCTGTGGTTTCTAGCCAGCACCTTACCCTCCAACCACATCATGCTCAGATGTATTTGCGGCAAACTCAGAGACAAACTGCCCCATGAACTCAGAGACAAGCTGCACACACGAAGACCTTTTTGTCAGCTCGAATCCAAAGCCACCAAAATTGCCTCAATGACAGCAAGAAAAATGGGTGCAAAATTGAAAATGTAAACTGAAATTTCTCCAAACTTTAATTTTAAATGAAAATGTATAAACCAATTATTCTAATCAGATAATCCACTGATTTTCCAGGCCCAAAGTCTAGTCATTCACACTTAAAAACCCAAAGTAAAAATGCCTTTAAATAGTAACTTAAGATCAATGAAAAGAACAAACAATTTCTTCTATCTATGAAACCCAAAGGGACCATGATATTCACTGTAAGTAGAGTAGTCCTGTATGGTTCAATATAAGTCATTCTTCCATTACTTATTCTTTAATTATGCTTTGATCAAGTATATAAAGAAAAAAAGGTAACTGAAGCAAAATAAAGATTGAGCAGATTTTCTAGATTATGATATTTCCTTCAGAATATATAAAATTAATCGTACTTAGTCTTCTGCCAAGCAAAGCATAAGAAAGCACATACATGAATAAGGCCTCTGACAACCTCAACACAGGATAGAGGGGAGTCAAATCTCAGAGTGGAAAACCCAAGTTAGAGAACTGTGGATACTCTGGATTTTGAATATATATCCTCTGAGGCATATATCAAAAATAAATCCCGGATGCATCTTGTATTAATTGTTCTATGAATGGAGGTAAACCAAAAACAAAGCTGCTATTACCTTAAAATTCTAAATTCTGACAAGATGTAAATGCATTTGAAGTGTAGTACGACTACTGAGCAGGCTCTAAAACACTGCATATAAACTCCAAATCACAACAGTTAAACATGCAGCCATTTCCCTGGAGAAATCAACTTTACAAAGGTCACTAACTAAGTTTTTAGAACACATTGACTGTCAAGTATTCAATCACATGAACCTCATTCAAATATATACTTCCACTGTGTGCTCATTTAACCTAGCATCCATCTCAAGGTACTAGTCACTTACTGTACACTTTGACATGGAAACCAGAGGCATATACTCTGAAGAAACATTATCAATATTGAAAGGAATCAAGGAAAGTTGTCCTTGGCTTAGTGGAATAGCAAAGAAGATCCCTAATTTTAACATCATAATATTAGCTTTATTGAGGTTCCAAGTACAAACAGCGTTAATGTAAAAATAGAGTTTTATTCTGTTATTGCCAAGTAAATTTTCATAAGGAATTCACATGAAAAAGAGCAAATTTTAGTTGACACTTAGCAATTGAAAAGTTATAATAAACCTTCTCCCACTTCTTTAAGCTAGCTTTGGTAGGTTGACTAGTAAATAGATGTGGTTTCCACGATGAAATAAATTACAACAGAAAGCTTAGGTGATATCTAAAATAGAGACTATTTACCTAGTCTACCCCACCACCTCAATTCAAATTGTATTACTACAAGCCTAATTTATAAACAGACGTCCTATTTTCACACAGGCTTCCACACAAGTCAAAATGTAATACATCTTATTCTTTCACCTGTAAGTACTTTTGACATTAAAATTATCTTCCAATAAGTTGTAATCAAACACATGTTGCTTTAATTTTAATTCTTGGTATTATTATATTCAACTCTTGAAAATGAAAATGAGATTTTGGTTTCTATCATCATAGTTACTTGCAAGAGTAGAGTTTCAATCATGACTAACAAAATCAAATATCACTGATATTAAGACATTTTCAATATATAGTATATTAATGAGAAATGTCCATGTAATATAAAAAGAACAGTAAAAGTTGTATCTTTCCCAAACACAACCAATGGAAAACAGCATCTTAGAAGCAACAGCAAGGGAAGAAGGAAAGAAAATTAAAATGTTACAAGAATACATATAATCACTTAGTAATTTACAATGCAATAATTAAATCCTGGGAACGTCTTTTCATAACTGAATATACATAAGTATAGGGTCTAAAAATTGCTAAATGGAAATCCTGATACCTAGTGAAATTTTGATTCAGATCATCTATTTCAAGCAGAACAAACACAGCATGAGAGTTTAGTAGCAATCCTAACTTCATCCCCAGTCAAAACCAGATAATGTCTTAGTTGTCTTTCTAGTGATTCAAAAGAAAGGATGCATATAACCAAAGACAGATACTTAATTGTTTTACCTTTCCCTTAATTATACAAATGCCAGTTGTCTGCTGGCCCAGAAATCAAAGAACCTTCCCAATAGACAGTTTAAACAGAAAGGGTCATACTTACATGCCTCTTGAAATCACCCTGTTTAACAACTAGGTTCAAATTTAACACAATCACCCCCATGTCATCTTCTAAACTGTTTGGATCTTCCAATTTTAAAATATGTTCAGTTGTCCTACAAGCAAAAAACCAATAAATAATTTTAACATGAATTGGCATTATTATATAGCACCTTATCAGGAGCTTGTAAAAACCTCTGCATAAAGATTGGTCGCAGTGATTGAAGAAAAAAATGACTGCCCGTAGTGAAAGCCAAACCACAATTTTCAGGGAAATATAAAATCCTGACATTGTCAAATTCAACACTTCATCAAATGATCTCCCTTATCTGTCATCAAAATAAATGTAAATATTTATGTTGTTATATTTATGGACCTCAATATTTTTAAAAACTAACTTTAAAGTCCAATTCCTTTTTTCCAATATATTTTACAATTTTAATGGCTAATATAGTCAGCATTTAAAAAGCAAAGATCTAAGAAAATATTTTGAGTAGCAAAAACACTGCAAAGTAATTTTTTATTCATTCATATTTTGTTATTTGATCTGAATAGGTACCATTTAATGGTGGAGTTTTCCCTGAAATTCATGGGTAATGATTCCTAATAACAACACAATACCTGTTAAGCTTGAGATCCTTGAGAATGAGAAATGCTGAACCCATGAAGTCAGACGTGGTTAGGTCCCGATCATATACCTACAGAAGGGTGAGGCCGTGAACACTCAGGAGCATTCTAAACCCGCCAGGTTCAGCAAAGTAAGCACACTGAATAGGCTAAGAATTCTGAAATCTGTCTTTCAAACTTTATGATAATTTGTACACTAAAGCTGAAGAAAAAATTAGCCAAGCCTACACAGTGAACAAAATGATGACATCTTGCCCACATTTACCAATCATGCCCAAAACAATAGCAGAAAACACTTTTAAGGCAAGAGTCATTTTATAATAAAATGCTATGCACAATGGCACTCCCTGTAGTTTAATCGGTCTCTCATTAAAATTTAGCATTTTCCATGGTGAGCAGATCTGCCAATTAAATAGAAATTTGCTAAATATTGTATAGCAATCCCATTCTGCACTCAACTCATGCAGTTTTAACCCAGATGTTGGAGTAATTGATGCTTACACCTGGTAGCTTGAAGCTCTATTAAGTACAAAGTTATTCCTAATGGGAAAGGCTTCTATAGCTGTCACCACTGCAGGGCCAGTCATAATTCTTCCACATTGAATAAGTTTAAATATAGTCAATGAAGATATTATTTTCATAGTGAGTTTCTAGAATGCGTATCTCACTGAATTGAGGAAAACACATTTTCCCTTAAGAGTGTAAAAATTCCTTTCATATTATCAGTATTTTAACCTAGCCTTTGAGAATAATGAAAGAATTGATTGTGGAAAGTCCACTTTTAAGAAGGCCTGAGAACTGTGGAAGAGGATTTTTAATAAAGGAGCCGACTCAAGAGCCATCTGGGATTACCTTCACACGAAGCTTTTGATCAAGGCTTTGTATTGGCAATACAACTATTTCATCCCAAACTGGATTCAAGTTCTTATATATAACTTTACTTTTGTACAGCGTCTTCCCATTGAGCTTAAATTTCACGTATGGATCACTTGTGCCTTTAAAAGAAAAGAAAACAAGACAGAATTTTAAAATACACATCGAAACCTAACATCTCCATCAAGTCAAGATTCTTCCCACCGTCACCAGAGTTGACACAAGCCAGAGAACAGAGCCAAGATCAGTGTCTCCCTATGCAGGGATGGAAGGCTCTAGAGGTGGAGGGGAGAGGCAGAAATGATACAACTTGGGGGTAAATAACTAACTCCATTTTGTCTTTAAAGGTAGACTATGAATGGGCTCTTTGAGCTTATTCTGTGGTTTCATTGTGAATATGCCACCCCTCTACTACCCACAAAATTTCAAGAAATCAAGCCAGTGTCAGGAGTCCTGGGGAGAAGCCTGGCCCTCCTAGGATAGGCAGAAAAGCTATGAAAAGGGAAAACAGCCATTTCCAAACATTTAGCAGATGGCCAATTCAACAGAACCCTATACTTTAAAATATAATCATAGTAAATAAATCAGTCTTTGCAACCACTTACTCAAAAGATGGGATGCTGGGACTCAGACTAGAAATGGGGGTGTAGAGATTAAATCAACAGAGTGGCCATTCTTTACTGCCCCTTGCACCTGTGAAGCTGCTCACATTGTCCCAGTTGGGGCCAGCTGAACTCCACAGCAGGCAGGCCTTCAGCTGGCCTCAGAGCTGACACAGCTGACCTGAGGGGCTCCTCTTGGGGAGCTTTGAAATGGACGCCAAAGGGAATGAGTAATATCCCTCTAGTTGCTATGCCCAAAGCATTTAAAAAAAAAAAAAGGCTGTTGGTAGATCCTCCTTCACATTTCTCAAGTCAATTCAGAAAAAAAAAAATGCCTGTAAATGGCATGAATTATGTATCCTGCCTATGTGTTATATGCATATGTTTTCTGACATGACAAGGATCTACCTGCTCATCAGGATTTGGTGACTAAAGAAGCACAAGCAGAAGTCAATAAGGAGATAAATGAAGGGCATCTCAAGATGCTCCTAAGACAAAACTTATAACCGGAAGAGTTCTCTAGTCAGTTTAGAAACATGGTGCTGAGAATAGGCATACAAGGGCCATCTGTCTGTTTTGTACAGGGCCCAAGACGGGCCCTGAAATACAAATATTATGTCAAAAATCAAAAGCCATTTTGCTGTAAACATTTATCAGCTCATCGTGATTATCCCTCATTAGTTGAATAGTGTATCATTCAGATCTTTATGTTTCTGTGCCACTTTAGAAGCAAAAATTACTGAAAATAAAGGTAACATTTCCCAACCATTTGAGCTCAAAGCAACTTCACCATACAGCAAGACAGGATACATTATTTAATTTTAATAGTTTCACTAAAGCATGAGTTTGATGAGCTAGCGTTACTATAAGGGCACCAACTTTAACCAGTGAAATAAAAATAGCCTACAAATGTGCATATTTATTCAACTCTAATATTTTAAGTTTGGCAGAACAGAAATAGAGGCCCAGCTCCCATTTGAAACCTGGACAGACACAAACCCATGTTGCTCAGTGGTTGTGTGAGGGCTAGTAAAAATAAATGCATTCACAGCCACTCAGTGGAATTCTCACTAGTGAGTGAGCATCTGCCAACCCGCTCCTTTAACAGCATAAGAGAACACCTCTGGCTAGTCAGGCTTTAACAATCATCCTGATATAT